ATAATCATCATCAAGAACATTATTATTATCATTTCATTGTCTTTCAATCTTTTTACTGTTTTCTAATTTTATATTTACTCTCTTTGGTTTTCTTTGAATCTTTTTTCTCTTTCTCTGTAGCATTGACATTGGACTTTTACCCAAAATAAACATCTCGAACCAATGGAAATAATTACGAACAACATTCTAGACTCTTGATAGTTTCTTCATCTTCTTATGTTTACCTAATCTCTATTTAATCTGTGTATTCAACTTTTTTTTATGCTTTTTCTTTCCTTGCCCTCAGGTAATATTGATTATTCAATAATATTCATTGGCATTCATATGGCATTAAAAAGAAAGATAAATCCTATTCATTGGTTTAGAAATAAAATAAACAACCATCAGAGATTGACTTGTAATCGATTTGCAATGTTTACTTTGTGTTCTGAAGGCGAAGGGAAAATCTTCTGAATAAAATGTTACAGAATAGAGAAAAAAAAATCATATACAATGAAAGAAAAAGCAAAAACAAAGTAACCAGAATCTAAGATTCTGATATTTTATTTTATTCTACCAATGGATAGAATATGAAAATTTCATTTTCTATCCATCGGATAATAATAATATTCAGATAGGATATTCTTTTTCTTCCTCTGTCTCTTTCTTTCTCCGGTTACTCATGATACTTTCAATTCACATGGGGAAATCTTCATGTACACATACGAATTCATGTATTTTACTCAATGGTATTTATTTATCAGCTTAGAAACAAAAACAAAGTTGAATGTAAATAGAAAATCATTTCCTGAAATATTCAACTTTCTTTTGAAATATTAATCAACAATTCGATTCCTATGTTACTCAAGTTTTATTTCTCTTCTCGACTTCTAGAGAAAATGTTTTGAATTTGACAAGTTTGCGTTTTCCTTTGAAATGGAAAAACGTTTCCAAATAATCAGAGCGAAAGCCAGAGAGAGAGAGAGAGAGAGAGAGAGAGAGAGAGAGAGAGAGAGATAAATTCCATACAACTTGAATTCTCACTTCAATCTATATAATGTATCTTTTCATTCAGAATAATCAGATAATATGAATGAAGATAATCATCCATAATCTCTCTCACTGTGATGATATATGTATTTTTCCTCCACTTGAATAAAAAAATTTTCTCACCAAAAAGAAAAACTTTTTTCAACTCAGATCCTGCAGAATAGCCTGAGGTGTTATTAAGATGATGTAGACAGTGGATATATTAATACATTAATAGTTTATAAACATCTTCATCTCGGATCATGATGACAGGGATGATAATATAACTAGAAGGCATCGATATTAATAAATTAACAAATATCATAACTGAGATTATTTGGTGCACGTTAAGGCCAATCGAAAATGAGAAAAGCGGCTTAAAGTGAGAGTGAGAGAGAGAGAGAAAGTGGGGGTGATGGAATGTTTTTCTTGGATATTTCTGATACTATAAATAGATTTTCCTCTGTACTAATTAATCAAATTTCAACATAATTAGCGATTAATTTGATCCAATTAGGCTAACGTGTTGAAGAGTAAAAAATTGAAATTATCGTTGGTCAAGAAAGATGGAGAGAGATTTAGAGATCTCAGGTAATTATTGGTCAGTGAGAGATGTTTAGGTCATCATTCATGGAAGAAGGAAACAAAATTCCTCAGGAAGATAGAAAATAATCTGACGCAAATGATAATGAATAAATTATTAGTTCTGCAAGAATCATTATCAAAGGCAAGAAAAGGTAGTTAACGTAAAAATAGAAACACTTGATAGGAAAATAAGATTAGTAAAGTTGAAAAGGAACAAAATTGTTATATTAGCCACAATTAAGAATCAATTATTATCAAGACGATTTTTATTATCGATATTGGAGAAAAAGTTTGTAGACAGAAGTCAAGTATTCGGTTTAAGAAAAAGAGAGAGAGAGATGACGGTCAATGCATAGATTGGAGGGTCAAAAGCAGTCTAGAGAGAGAAAGAGAGAGAGAGGTGGATAAGGATAAGGATAAGAGGAGATGAGGATACAGATCCTATGGAAGATGCTGAGTAACTGATAACTTATGAAGGAAAAGCTTGTTAACTTTGATATGATACATAAGATGTTGTAAATTTTTTGTTTCTACTTGCAGATGATGAAGACTAGATATTGAGGAAATTGTCATCTTGATAAAAATTCTCTTTTAGATACTCTCTCTCTCTCTCTCTTCTCTGATGAAAATATCACCTCTTTATTTCCCTCAATTTACAATTTTTGCCTAGAAAATGTTATAATCGTTATCTTCATCTTCCAAGCTCTTGTCTCGCTTTCATCCTTCAGCTGATTCATTGTTTCCATCTGCATCCTTGATAAAAATACTTTTGACCATTGGTCATTTGAGATTGATATTAAATAAGCCAAACATCATAATTATAATTTATTGCGATTTAATTTTAATTACAGCTTGTTGAAATGATTCAAATTGAGCATCATGATAGTAAAATAGTTTTAAATATTTTATTGCTTCAACTGAACTTTCTCAATCTATCATTTCAAATGGAAAGTTATTCATGAGATTATATTGAGAACTTTTTTTTCATGAATGAAAGTTAATGATATTTACTAGAGAGAGAGAGAGAGAGAGAGAGAGAGAGAGAATCGTAAATGATTCTGATGAAGATTCTCTCAATGGTGATAACATGAATATTAAAGGAGGGAGATGAAGAGGTTGAGGTGGTGTGATTTTGATCATGATGGTGATGAAGAATTGAAACTGATACTGTATAGTTTCTAGTTCACCATGAAGATGAAACTGAGAACCTTTAATGTTATTGAGAAGAGAAAATCAGTAAAAGGGCGGAGATTCTGCAAGAAGATGATGGGAGGTTCCTGGTTCTAAGATGAGAGTAAATCCCTTTGAGAAAATAAGAAAGAAAGAGAGAAGAAGATGAAAAGGAGGAGATTATGTAAGTCTTTCTCTCTTTCTTTTCTGTAATAGATGACAAAAAGTAAGAGAAGATAAAAGAGACTCGAAAGGTTGGTCTCTAAGACTCTGATAGGCTGAGAATCGATAGAATTTTCAACTTGATAATATTCTATTCATCGTATTTATCTCTCTCTCTCTCCCTTCTCACCATCTTCATCATCTTAGACTCTTGAACAATATCTGAGGTTAGAATAGAATAGAAAAAAAATTCTTAACCTGAAAACCGAAAAAAGAATAAAAAAATAGAAAAATTCTCACTGAACATTGATTAAAGTTTCGCAAAGAAAAACAATGTAACAGTTACAATTTATTTGATTACCTGTTCAGTTAATTACTGTTTATATCTAATTTTTAGTTGATTATTTCACTCGTGGGTGTGTAAGAGTGTAAGGGTTTAGTGGACATTTGACCAACATGGTGGAAATGAGAGTAATTCTTACTCTCTCTCTCTTTTTCTCAATGGAAAAATATTATTAACATAATGATATTTACTATTGATCTAATCATTAGTGTGAAAAGGTAAAGGTATCAAAATGATTATCACTTTATGATTTAGTTAATGATGTTAACTAATGTTAATTGATCAACTTGAAGCTTAATATATTGTAGTGTTTACAATGTGATACAAATGAGAAATCTAATTACTATTATGGGCTTGACCATCGTCATTAGCCATCAAATGGACATAATAATGTAACAATTATCTTTCCAAAGGTAATCTAAACTTTTTTAATTTTCCAACCAAATTATCATCTAGAACCATTGAATTGTATTAATCCCCCAATCATTTCAATTAGATTGTTAACTTTTAATCACAATCGGTAAATCATAATTACTTTGAAAATCTTTCAACCAAAAATTGAAAAAGGAAATGATAGTTGATTGTTACAATTAAATATACATACATATGTAATGTTAACTAATCATATATTGATATTTGAGTGTTTGAAACAATTAAATAAAGGAACCAAATTATTCATCTAATATCATTAACTTGGAAACTTTAATCATAATTAGACTTGTTCAACTGACAATATAAAAGTTAATCAAACTAATTTTGTTATGATTTAAAATGTACAAATTTAAAGTATTCGTAACAATTAAAGTGATTATAATTTAGGGAAACAATTAACTGGTGATGAAATCAAATTTCACATGTAACCTTATGACAGAATACAGTCTGTCCCAGATGACCATTCAACCGAGTGACCATTGGATTAGTAAAAAATAAAAAAAGAAATCCGAATGTAACATATGAAAGCTTAGGGGTGGGATGAAGAGAGTGGTGTGTGTGTGTGTGTGTGTGGGGGGTGAGTGGGTGGTGAAACTATCGAATGAAAAAAAGAAAAGTTCTAATAAAAGTCGAATTGTTTTTTTTTCTCTTTCTATTTTCCATTTTTTTCGCTTAAACAAACTACAGATGATCAGTGTGATGAGGATGATGAAATTTGATGCTAATCAAACTCAAATTATTTGCTTGTGTGTGTGAGCACAAGAGAGACACACACACACAACATCAATGGTGGAAAGATTGAGGGTGAAAGTGGATAAGGTGAGGAGGGTAAATTGTTGGTCATAACGTAAACAAAAGTCTCATATTTTTGTTGTTCACAATTAAATAAACCATTGGAAAACCTTTAGCACGCTTAATATTAATAATCAACATCATCTTCACCCATAATAATCATTTTTGCGACTCTTCAATTCTCAAAACCTCAGAAATATATATGCGTACTTATGAGTGTGTCTCTCTCTCTGTATAACTGATTGTGTGTTCATATATTTACTCAATATTATGTATATTTGTAGGCTCATCATGTATTAGCATGAATATGTATTCATAAGTGTGAGAGTCTTTTCAGGTGAGCAAACAATTAGAATTTGGATTTTAAGTGTTCAAATTGAGATGTTATTTTATTTTTTTTTCTCTCATTCTCATTCTCTTTTTCTTATTTATTCATTGTAAAGGATGCGGATCATTTTAGGAAGAAAAAAATTATGAGGAGGATGAAGAGAAGAGAATTTCATCTTACCTTGACTATGATGTCTCGATGTAAGGTAATCACTTTTACAGAGAAGTCGATCATCATCTAATATGTAAAGTGTATCTCCGGTTGACAATTCTCTGTGACAATCGACACAAGTGAAACAAGGAATATGATAAACTTTGTTTCGAGCCCATCGAACATAATCTTCAGGTAGAATCCCTTGGTCACATCCAGCGCATTTGGTACCAAAGCGTCTAAAGGTCAACATCAACATGGACACAGAGTGTGTGCGTGAGAGAGTGACAGAGATAAACACAAACGAAGAAAAAAAAATTATAAGAAAATATCCAGAAAGAGTATTGAACATTTCGAGATGATGATTCGATTGGATTGGAAAATCGTTCAGAGGAATAAAAAAAGACAAAGTCAAGGAAAAGACAAACGCTGATATAATGACCACACACATACGAACACATGGAATGTGTCATGATGATGACCAGTTAAACTGACTGGACAATAGAAATGATAATTTGAAAAACTTACTTGAAAAAATCTTGTTTACAAAATAATTTACCATCACGAGTGTAACATTTACCAGTTAATGAACTTTTACAATCAAAACAAATGACACAATGAATGTGCCAGGTAACGTCCAGTATTTTGTCCAGGTAACGGTCTTTAATGGGTAGATCACAACCTGCACAGGAAACCATCTTCATGATGATAACGATGATGGACCAAAGCCCATAAAAAACAATACGATGACGATGATGATGATGATTTGGTAGACCCAGAGACGATATTCAATATGATGATGAAATATATACACACAATGACACCAACGTATCAGCTGATTTGATGTAAAAAAAAATTAGACCAAAACAAAAATGAAGGTAAACAAAAAAAATCCAATAACACAATCAGCTGATTCACTTAAATTATTTTGATCATATTAAGTAAAAAAAAAACAAAACAAAACCTCAGGTAATTAAAAATGATCCTCTCATTTAATGGTAAACTTGATCAACTAAGATGCTGATGTTGATGTTGTTGATGTTGTTGTTGTTGATGTTGATGTTATTGTCGTGATGATTATGGTGATGATGAGTGGTGAATGAGATGTCACAATTAAGGAAAGAGTGAGAGAAAGTTAATTTAAACTCTCAGTGCCAAAGTTTCAACAATCAACTAACTATCAACTTGTTTCAATCGCGCTTCTAGTTACCAATACGAATGCGTGAAGAAATAAAGTTATCACGCCTCAGTCGAATCCATTTAGCCAATCAGAGCAGGAGGAGAAGGTGGAGTTTATCTTCATGTTTATCTTCATCATCATCAACATCAACACCAACACCATCATCATCCTCATCCTCATCTTCTTCTTCATCATCATCATTGATAATATTTTCTCATCTTAACTTTTTTCCCTTCCCTCATCCATTGTTGATAAAATATGTGCCAATGATGTAAACATGATTACCTGATAATCTGATCCTTTTATCTTAATCTGATTTCTTTGTTGATTCTAACTTGATATTAATCAAATAATTACTTTAAATCAACTGATTAGTAAACAAGGGTTAATTGTTGTTGTAACACAATTAATTTTACATCGCAATTAAAAATGATTCAATTGTCTTAATAGCTTTTGTAATATGAGTTTTGAACAAAAAAAAGTTTTCAATGTTTCATTTTTGCTAAGCTGATGAAATTTGATGATTATTGTTAATCCATTTGGTTTTGATTATCATTGGTGTTGATTATTGTTTAATATGATTTGCAAGTGATTAACTTGGATTATCCCTTGAGATATATTTACTTAAAGATTAGATAATCTCTCTCTCTCTCTCTCTCTCTCTCTCTCTCTCTCTCTCTCTCTCATTTTCCTCTGCAAGGTTACCCCACCTGAAGTGATTTAATTGTGATTAAACAATTGAAGGAAACTTTATTTTCTTATCACAATTAGATTGACAAACTATTACAAGAGCAATTATCTTTAGTTAGATGATTACAATTTATGCAAACTCTATGCAACAATTAACAATCATCAACATCACTTTTACCTGTCCAATAAGTAAGAAAAAAAAATCAATCAAATATTTTTCAGATTTACCTTTGAATTTTATCAAAACAATTATAATCACCTTGCAACCGTTGTAAGGTAAAGGTCAAGACAACAATCAAATTGCAGTTAATCAATTAACAAATAGCTAGAAAATAATTAAACTAATCATCATATTATGTTAACATTGTGATAAACGTCAAAAAGAACAAAAAAAAGTTCTATTTACCTTTAAAAATTGATTTCAGTTAATCACAAGAATAGATTGTTACAAATCATCATTATCACCTTTCTCTCTCTCTCTCACTTATTATCATCATCATCTTGCCTCATCATCTTCATCTTCATCATCTTTCTTCAAACTGAATTGAGTGACAAATTACTGGTTCCAACCCGCTGACCTTTCATCTCACTCCCAGTGACTTTCTAGCTCGTGGTCAATTATCATTACATTATCATCATCGATGGCCTGTTATCTTTATGTTAAAACATCAACCCACTGACCACCCCCTTCATCCTAAACACCAACATCAACAACAACGAAAAATTCACCTTCAACCCAACCCCTTTGTGTGTCCACCTCCCGCTATGAATAGACGACTTGTAAAATCGCTTGTCAAAAGTTTTATTCGTTTTCTTTTCTCTTCTTCTTCTCTTCATCATCTTTAGTTTCTCTATTCTTCTTGTGTCTTACATCTTCATCTTCCAACTTGTTATTACATCAACCACCTCCACCTCCTCCATATCATCTTCATCTTCATCCTTGTCTTTTCTCTCTCTCTCTCCATTGTATCTTCATCATCTTCTTCATCACCAGTATCTTACTTGATTGCTGCTAATCCAAAATAATACAAGAAGCACAATTGAACTTGGTAACTTCTTTTTTCTGATGATGATAATGATGATAAGTTGACAGAGTTTCTCTACCTTCATCTTTCCCTCCCTCCCTTTTCATCTTCATCTTCTTCTATCATCATTTCTCACCTTTACATTACTACAAATCATCTTTGACACCATCTAAAGGTAATTTACAGATTCTAGTGTTCATTTATCAATCTTTACACAAATACCTGTAAATTGTTTCAATTGTAATCAATTTTAGTTAACCTAATCTAACAATTATCTTCTCAATCATATTAAACATTTTTTTAACAACCAGATTAACTGTAACAATCAAGTACATTTCAATATCCAACAGTTTAAATATCCAGGCTCACAATTAACCCTTGTTTCAAATTACAGCAATAACAAAAAAAAGTTATGGTTAATCAAATAGTCACCACAATCAACTGATTATAATCATTTTGTTTAATTATGACGAAAAATTGTCTAATTGTTGAGTAATTAAGTAATTAGAGAGTGAAAGTAAATCTAACAATGGTCAATATCTTGACCAAACATAAACAAGATCATTAGGTTAACGAAAATAATTGTGATTAGTAAATTTGTTTATGATAATTTTCAGTTTCGATTGAATTCTCATTATTGTTCAATTGTTATTCTTATAATTAATTGTTTGATTGAGCAATTAATGAATTACGATCAACATATGGACTTGATTCAGTTTCCAAAATTTTGGTCAACATTTCTCGGACTAGACAATCGATATCGAATTGGTGTCTCCAAGTCCAATCATTTCGAGCATTGGTATCGTCAAAGACTTGAGGCCAACTTTCCGCTATATGAACACATAAAAATAAAATTAAATTGTTTTTAGTTAATTGTTTTTATCGGTTACAGATTAGACTTTTGGATCAATTATTACCAATTTGCTGACGAGAATCGGGTTCATAAGAGACTTCCAGGTCTGGAATATATTTCCTTATGGCCTGAACTAATTCCTGTGGACTGAAACTCATCGCGGTTATATTATAAATCCGCCGTGGAAGCTGCTCAGGGGTAACATGCATAAACTCAACTAGAGCTCGAAGACAATCATCAATGTAAATCATTGGAAGTCGAGTGTCCGGCTTAAGGTAACACTTGTAGTGGCCAAATTTCAAAGCCTTGTGGAAAATATCAACAGCATAATCGGTTGTTCCGCCTCCGGGCGCGGTATCAGCCGATATTACACCAGGGAATCGAAGGCAACGAAAATCTAAACCGAACTTATGATTATAATACTAAAAAAAGAGAAAACAAAGAAAAAACGATCAATCGAATTTCAGAGAAAAGAAAACACAGTTCGAAGGTTCGATTTCCACTGTACCTCTCCAAGTAGCTCAGCGTGAACCTTGGAAACACCGTAAATTGTTTTAGGCCTTTGAACACAAACATCGGGCGTTGGATTTCGCGGTGAATCAGGTCCAAAAGCACCGATAGTGCTTGGAACAAATAACCTGAGCTTATATTGTTTCGCCAATTCCATGATATTGTGAAGACCTTCAACATTTATCCTCATCGCTAAAGGAACATTATTTTCACCGATTGCACTTAATAAAGCACTAAAGTGAATCAGCCAATCGACACGATGATTAACGATAATTTCTTGAAGATTCTTAAAGTCCAGAACATCGGCAAACAGGTAAGGCCCTTTGTTCAATACTTGATCAGGTGCTCGAATAATATCCGTCATAATAATATTATTAGAACCATAGATATCCCTGTAATCGAACAGAAGAAAAAAAATCAATATTATCATCGATTTAAACAATTTAATCCAACCAAATCATGCGGAACAATTAATTACCTTAATTTACGAGCTAATCCAGTTCCAAGCTGACCAAGACTTCCTGTAATTTAGTAAATTGAGAAAAGTATTTCAACAATTAAAAACTTTTTCCCTTCTCAATTTGCTTACAAAGATTAAAATCTATCACTGGAAATTATTATTAATATTTCCAATGGTTGAATAATCAAAGGATTAGGATTATCCAATAACAGCTGATGATACTTAATCCAAGGTGAAATTTAAGTCTTGAAAATTTATCACCAACTTGGAATCAGGTAAATCTAATAAACCTTTCCTCAAGTAGATTAGTTTCTAAATCCTATTTGGATCAAAGAAGCTAAAAGATAATCTTACCAAGTCATTGTTAATCCATCGTCAACAATTTGACAGGTAAAACTGAATAATTAAACTAGTTAATTATCTACTGGATTAAGAATCAAAGTTCAGGTTAATGGAAACGGAAATGGATATTTAGATTCTCATATCGATCAATACATAATAACAATTTGATGGCTCGAAAATAATGATAAGATTGACAAGAGATGATTTAATAAATGATTATCACGATTAAATTTGCTAATCACTTTAAATCCAAAGAAAACATAAATCATAAATCATTGCAATTGAAAATTATCATCAATATAAAATGATATTATTATTATGAAGAAAAAGATTTAAACAATCAGTTAATGAGATTAAATTTGATTGTGGTAACAATTGATTGGGAAAATTGGTTAAATCAATTGCTACTGTTTGGTTGATTGCCTGTGGCTTTAAAACTCAAGGTATTACAATTGAGCTGATCACTAGGAGATAATTTAATTCCTTTTAAATTGTTTCAGCTTCTGTTGGTTAATCAAACAATTTTCTCAATTGTTGTTCAAATCATTTAACTCATTTAATCCTTAAGACAACAGGTATGGATTAAGACACTAACCTGTTATCAATATTTTCGGGGGTTTTGATAGTTTCTCAAAGTGTTTATAATTTTCACGATGAGAAGATGATGTTGATGAATAAACTAATTGTGGACTAATTGTTGACCCAAGTTTCCAATGGTTAAACAGTTTCGTCATATGGTGTTGATACTTTGATGGTGAAAGAGTCATAATTAACTATAAAGTTACACTAAATTGTTACGAAAACGAAAATGAAAAAACAAACAAAAAGAGATGATTAAATGAATCAAGTAAACAATCAAGGATGAACAATTAATCAGTTGATTAGTTGATTCAATTTCACATGAGCAATATAATAATAACAAATTAAGAACGTGAAACAATTAAGGGAGTTTACAGTTTGTCGAGTTTGAGTTCAAATTGTGACAGAAAAAGTGTAATTGGGATTACAATTAGAATGGAAATTTTCAATTGTGACGTTGATTAGGAATAGATTGTAATTCTACCTGTTGTATTTAAAAATCGAAACTGGAAAATGATAAATGAGGGAAACCTCAGAAAAAGAAGATAACTAGCCTTGGGCGAAGAAGAAAATTTTCTTCTCTCCCGATGATGATGATCAAATCGACCTAATCTCTCTTTCTATTTCTCTTTCTCCTTTTCGTTCTCTTTTCTTTTTCCTTTTTAATTCAGGTAAAAACACGTTTATCAGCTTACAATAAGATCCTCCAGGTAAATTTAGACTTCTAATCATTAGAATCCGATTTATCTTTTTTTTTAATTTTTTCTTTCTCTTCTCCTTTCAATCGGTGTGTGTGTGTCTATGGATGGTTTCCTTTTCCGTTTGGATACTTTTTCCAAGTCAAAAGCAGTTGATAGGTCGAAATTGGTCTTCAATTGGACTACTGGTCATTTCTTTTTCGTTCTCGAGTGGGTCAAGTTTTGTACATTCATTTCTTTCGGTTAATCAGGATTTCGTAAAAATATTTATCCTTGAAATGGAAAAAATTAAAATGATTGACAGCTCAGAATTGTTGTTGTTGATGATGATTATGATGAGGGGAAAACAGGAAAGCCCAGAAAGCCTTAGGCAAATGATGGTAAGAATCAGCATGATGATTATAGTCTGTTGTTGATGAGCAGAGTTGGAGAGAAAGATTGAAAATTAATCGGTTAAATTGCACAATCAATTTAATCATCACCAGTTTTTCTTGATATATACTGTTGCTAACGCCATAACGAGATGTCTGTTTCCATGAAGAGGATTGTCCATGATGATCATCGTCATCATTTAGTTATTGAAACTTTTCAACAATTAGTAACCAACAGTTAGTCATCTGATTAATTTGGTGTCATTTTCGTTTTTTTTGGTTAATTGTTATTGGGAAACAAGTCAATTCCTTATGGCAGTGATTGAAGAACAGATTGATTAACCAGAACCATTTCGCTTTCAGTTACAAATTGATTTGTGTGAGATAATTAACAAACAATTTACATGGTGAAAATATAGAAACATTTTCATTGATTAAAAGGTGAATCCATTTTTCGGTCAATTCAAATTTTAGTCTCTTCTGAGAGAGAAATAGAGATAATTGGATGTTTGGAAGAAATTTCGAAATCATTGAACAATCAGTCCACATTCTGAATTTCGAATAATTGACTTAATTAAACCATTATCATCTAAAATTGACGAAGAAAAAAAACAGAAAAACAACATTATAATCAAGTCTAATTGGAAAAGCAAACAAATCAATCAATTATTAGCTTACAGAATTCAAAGTTCACTTCTATTCAAAGGCCAACTACCATTATCCATATGAACAATATTCAATCGAGGTCCATAATATTTGATTATATAATTAGAGTTGTCAACTGGTTTAAGTACTTGTAAAGCAATTAAAATGATATCAATAAATTGCAGAATAAAAAAACATCCAAATGTACACAATTTAAGTAGACCAATCGCTGGATAACCAAGGTAAAAACGATCAGCTCCAAACATACCTAAGAATAACCATAACCAAAGAAACAATAGACAAGAAAGATAATCAGTTAATAAGAAAACTAATCAATTAATAGTTAACAATTAAAACAAACCTAAAAAAATTGATAATAACAAAGCAGTTTCAAAATGATAACCATTTGTATAGAGACAATCAATTTCCATTGAGAAAGTGGTTACATTTTTATCTGGATAACCTTTACAATAAAAACCCTCACCAAGAGAGCAATTTATTTTAGCTTTATTAGTTTTATCACAATTAACAGGTTGTTGGGTAGTTGAATCAATTATCGGTTCACTACAATTAAATTGTCCAACAAGAGGAGACAAACAATCAGCAGCAATTGATTTCCTACCACGTTTAGCTAATCCTGGAATCATATTACTGTTAACCGATGAGTTGACGTAATTAAGACTCACAATTAACATCAAACTGTAAGGTAAAAGGAGATAATTGATTTGCATTGTTAATCGGATTAATTAAATTCTACATTTAGAAAGGAAAATGATAATTGTGATTATTGGAAAATTAGAATTGGAAAAATTTTTGTAAACAGAAAATGAAAAACAGCTGATTGAGTTTGAGCGCGAATTTGAAACATTTTGATTGGAATAAATTTAATTGAAATGATTGTGAGAATCTAAAAAAAGAGAAAATTGTTTTTCGAATGATGTTTTACAATTAGAGAGAGAGAGAGAGAGAGAGAGAGAGAGGTTTTGTTTGATTTGTTGATTGGAGGAATTTTAGATTATTTAAATAAGTATTTAAGAAGAAGAAAAAAATATATTCTTATTATTAGTCGATCATCTTCTGGTTCTTTTTTCTCTGTCTTCTTTATCTCGACTTTTTCGACGAGTTTCATCTCGTTTCGAGTTTCGACCAGATTTTTCACGACTACTACTTTCACGGCCACTTCGCCGATCTCGATCATCTTTTGAGGTTTGTAAATCACGACGATCTCTTCGATCTTTATCATCACGTTTATCTTTATCATCTCTTTTATCTTTATCTTCTCGTTTATCTTTGTCATCTCTTTCACTTCGACGTTTAGATGATGATGATGATGATGATGAGGTAGTTCGATGTTCCTTTTTTTCTGGTTCTTCTTCGTATTTTCTTTTAATTGGTAACATTCCATAATCAACTGGTGGACAGTTAATTGTTGGAACACTAGCAGGATGAGGTGGGAAAATATTCATTCCAACATGAGGAGGTGGAATACCAAATGGAGGTGGTGGATACCATAAAGATTGCATAGTTGGTGGTGGTGGTGGAGCTAAAATTGGACCAAAATTACCACCGGAGTGATCAAGTTGTTCCGGTGTATCGGGCGGTCGACGACTGGCAATCATTGATGGAGTACTTGGTGTACCACCGCCGATAACATCAATTGTACCTGAAGGTTTTCTACCCGGTGGAGGACCAGCTTTCTTTGTTAATCCTAATCCCGAGTATTTGGAATTCTCGTTTACACTGGCAACAGGTATTGTCGATTCCTTTGGTGGACTAGTATTTGGACCTTGACTTGTGGTAATTGAAATTGGTTGATCTCTTTTGATAACTGGTTCATCATCTGAAGATCCACCGCCACCTCCGGTTAACATTTGTTGAATTTTCTTATGCTTCTCACAATAAGATTTCCATGTCATCTCATTAAAACCATAATTGAAATAATCGGTTAAATCGGCTCCCGGTTTTCTCCAGGGTTTCTCTTTCATTGTATCAACATCAAAATCAAGAATTGATGAACCTTCATAAATACCAACAGCGTCCAAATCAAGGCCAACATTTTTTGATTTACCACTTGTCGCCCTTTTAGCGATATTGAAACTAAGAGGTTGATATGTTGGTGGTTCAGGTGCTTTCAGTTCACCGATGATAATATTTATATCATCACCTTCATCACCATCATCATCATCTTCTTCATCATCATTATCCTCAGGATGTTGTTCATTTTGATCATCATCATTTTCACCAGCAACAACGGAGACATCAACGTCCCCACCACCAAGAGAATCACTAACATTGTTCACACTGTTGTTCGCTTCTTCGTCAACATTGTTGAGAAATGCTTCAGTTGACAATTCCATTGGAATTAATTAGAAGAAAGAAAATCAATAAGAAAAAACAACCAAAACTCAAACAAAAAAAAACGCCAATAAACAAACTGACACTTCGATTAACCAAAATGAGGAAAAAAAGAGCATCGATAGTATCGAACATGCGCACATGCTTAACATCGAAATATCGATCAATCGAAAGAATCGAAAATTTTTTGTTCTTCGATTTTTCAAAAACTGCGCCAAAATTTTCTTCTTTTTTTCCTAATGAATGAAGTTCCAATATAATCCAATAGATTTCACTCTCCATCAACATGTAAATTTAGAGTCCAAAATTTGGAATCCAAATTGATAAAGTTAATCATATGATCGTTAAGCAAAAATTAGTTAATTTAGTTACATGATTGAAACTCTTGAGCTATTTATTTAAATAGCACAAGAGAATCTGAATCAAGAATATAATTTGAGTTGTTTAAAATTAGAATCAACATATAGTTAACTATCCAAGTGAACATCATATTTACCAGTTTAATTGTTTTCTCGTCTTCACCAAATTAGATTAACTTTTAACAAAATTAATTTTATTTGTTTACATTTGTTTATCTCTCTCTCTCTCTCTCTCTCTCTCTCTCTCTCATTTTCTTATTCCTTATTGTTAATTGTTTACTATCACCATTCACTTATGTTAATTTGAAGTATCTGCAATTACGAGGTGTTCATGTGATTGTTTTGTTTTCTGATTTACTTTTATTAGTAACTTGAATATTTTTTTTTCTCTCTCTCTCTCTCATTGACAACAAAGTGATTGGAAAATTAAATTGTTCAATTGACAACCTTTTAATCAGTTACCCATCCCCTTTATACACCAAACTATGGGTACTATTGAAAGATCATCAAGTGAAAAAATGGTTACTGATGTTTACGAACTTAAACCAAGACCCAGAGTTGAAGTTGTTTGTGTGATGGATTTGGTAATTTTAAATGATAAAAATTAAACTAATTAACTAAACAACCTGATTACTAATAGTAATTTACTAATGATATTTTCCATTTCTTTTCTAGACTTTGGCTTCATCATCATTATCTCAACGGAAAATTGCCTATGAAGAGCTTCAAGAAGCTTGTGAAGCTTCAAACGCTTCATTACATTTAATTTTATTCCAAACATGGGATTTCGGTGAAATGTCCGCAGTTGAACAATTTCATGGAGCCGATGTTGCAATAATTGACCTTAGTGTCCAAGAACAACAGAATTCATTACTCTATCTTCTTGATGTTCGTGAAAGTTTCGGAATGAAGCAAAATATACTTCTTTTTAATGAATTTAATACTGAAAGTGCTTTACAATTAAGACTTACCTGTTGAAATTATACTCTAATTTCATATCGAGTCAATGAAAATAAACAATGTATCGTAACGGAGCCCAATGTCATCAATAGGCTTGGAAATGGTGATATAATTACCTCATCTGAAACTAAAATCCTTCTCCATGTTAAAATTAACCAAAATTTTACAAGAGATTGAGATACAAACAAAGTAAGTTAATCAAAGTTTTCGCTGATGAAAACGAGACTAATTTACTGATTTTCTTTTTCTTTTAAGAGCTCATATGAAGGAAAAGTTTCTCGGTGATTTGAGAAAAGCTCGTGATGAAAATACTGGTGAAAAATTAAGGGGAACTCTTCATAACCTGAGAAAACGTCTCGCTGATCCTAACCTGATTTCCATGGAGACAGTTTACAATATGTTCATGTCATTTCGAGAGATTCAAGATTACGACGCAATGATTAAACTATTCACAAACAGTTCCTCATCTAAAGTCAACCGTTAGCTCAGCGATTCTTTATCTCTATGCATTTGCCCTTAATCGTCGTAACAAGGAAGGTGATAGAGAGAAAGCGCTTAAATTTATCTCCATGGCCTTAGAACAAACGGAAGGCCATGTTCCCGATATCATTTGTCTTTGTGGTCGAATTTATAAAAATATGTTCGTCGAATCGACATATACCGATGATGTTAGTCTTATGAATGCAATCAAATGGTTTCGAGGTTCAACCAAACGAATACGCTGGTATTAATCTGGCCACTCTATTAGTTATCGATGGTGCCAATTTTGCAGCCTCCGAGGAGCTACAACGAATCGGAATGGTTCTGTCCAACCTTATCGGTCGAAAGGGTAGTTTGACATCTCTACAAGAGTATTGGGATGTTGCCACTTTCTTTGAGATCTCAGTTCTTGCCGAAAATTATGCCAAAGCCGTTCAAGCCTCCGAATGTATGTTTAAATTAAAGCCACCCAATTGGTACCTAAAATCGACCATAGGTAACATCCGACTGATCAATCGATTCCGTAAGAAACCGGAAGACGCTGAAAGGTCACCCGATGAGCATATATTTAACTTTTGGATGGAATATTTTATCGATGCCACTGATGAAGAGATTAGCGATGTTATCAAGTTTCCCATTCTAGTCCTCGAACCTACCAAAACGTATCAGCCCAGTTACGCGACAGTTAATATGGATGCCGATGAGAAATCTGTCCAAATAACCAATGTTTGCCTCGATTGTATGAAAAAAATGGACTGTCGTCGACTCCACAATTGGGTGATTGAAGCATCAAACATTAGAGGCGTTAGGTGAGTTATTAATTAACTTAAATTGTTACACAATTTGTTTTTCTATTTCTAAATCAGTTTTAATTAAATTTGATTAGATTGAATTAATTTGAATTTACCCAACACAAGGTTAATATTATCTTTGGGTTTTTCTGATTATTATTATTATTATTGTTTACAATTAACTAACTGTAAACATTTTGTGAACAATTAACTTTATAGTTTAAATTGTTTAAATATTTAATTTATCATCTCTTAAATGGTTAAGGTTAATTAATTGTCAATTAACATTGAAATTCAATGTTATTCAATCGCACAATTAATAAACTCAAACTTTGAGTCTCAAAGTTTTTGATGAACTATTCAATCATCTTATCAACAAGATTACATTTTAATTAATAGTTTATCTCATTGGTAACAAATCAATGTAAATTAACCTTGGCAGCTTTTAATTAATAATTAAAATTGTCATTCCTCTGAATGTTTCAATCAAAATCAACTACACCAATACTCATGTGACTTGAATATTGGATCTCTTAAATACAACTTATATTCGTCGAGTTTAATCCTTAAGGTCAACAAGTTCATGATTGATTTTTTGACGATTTTTTCTGATGATCAATTGATATAAACGGAAGGGTCAGTGCTATTAAATCATAACTCTTATCCAAGTTGTACCAAAGTAAAAAAATGTTTCGAAATTTTCAGTTTTTTTACTTCAAAATGCAAAAGCAAAAAACTCTACTAAACATTGAAGAAAAACCAATGACCAGAATAAATCATTCACCCAAAAGGTTGACCTTTTTGTTTGAATTGAGACGAAATTCATTCCCAATAAACTGATAATACTTTCGTAAGAAAGTTTGTTAATAGTGTTTTTTTGGGACCCATGCTCTTCTCCCTCTCTTTCTTTTCGAAGCTCGCAAAAAAAACCTTAACTCGTACATACAAAAATTGAGCCAGAATTTCTTATGAATGGCCGCTTCGATCGAGTTTGGACTATTTTACGTTTCGTAGGATATTAAGCTGAATCTTTTGATATCTCGACATCGAATAGAATCCTTGTAGCTTGTATGTAATCTTAACTGAAAAATCCACATCTTATTCATATTTATTATTATGATGATAATCGCTCATTAAATTGAAAAGTTTAATGAAGAGACGAGAAAATATCATAGACAAATTAAACAATCAACAAATTAGCAATTGATTATAATAAAACTGATTGTTAACTAATCATTAGTTGTCAAAATGTTTTTTATTATTATTAAAAGTCTGTTTGATGCATCAATTGAATAACACTATTTAATCAAAATAGTTTTCTGTTTCTGCAGATGAGCTAACAATTTAGGTTCAATTGTCCCTCTTTTAACATAAAGTTAATTGTGAACATAATTATTTAATTGTCAATTGAGATTTTCTTTTCTCTCTAATAATTGTATAATCGCAAAATTGTAATCATTTAATTATCTCTAATGAGCTCATGAGTTTGAATCAATTTAACAACTAATTGGAAATTTTCAACAATTAATCATTTTTATCGTAATTGTAATTAACTTTTTGAATCTCTTTTATCCTTTAGTCTCTACAAGCGAGATGAGAGATGCCTTTTCCTTTATGTCCATTTAAACTCGGATGATTTTCAAATGTTTTTCCCATCTGAAGCTTTGAGAGCTCGATTTCATCAGCTGATCGTGGAGATGACTGGTGATCAAGGTTTAATTGCTGACCTTGGAGCTCAGTATGACAATGAACCGATGGTATTTCTAGGCCTGAGATTATTTTCAAAGTTGGTTTTCACAAGGAACACCCAGAGATACCACAATCTCTTTCAGAACGAGCTAAAGAATTTATTTTACGCTGTTTCGATCCTAATCCAGATACTCGAGCGACCGCCGCTGAATTACTTGAACATCACTTTTTAGCTGAGAATCATCATGGAAACCGGAAAAAGAAAACAATACCCATGTCATCCTCTCCTACACCCCATAAACAGAGTCACCTTGATTTCAATCGTAGCATCTCTGTTCCTGCTGAATCTCATCAACCTCGAGACGATCGAAGTCCAGATTCAAGGAATCGATTCGAAAGTGCCGATGATGTGACCAAGTAAGTATTTTCTCTCTCTCTCTCTCTCTCTCTCTCTTAAGACAATTAGGATCAAATTCTCAACTTTTAATCTTCAAGCTTAATTGAGTAGCTCTTTCAACGTTCAATCAATCAGATACAATTAATTGAATTCCAATTATTATCTTGCTTACGATTTTGTTAATATTGATTAGAAAAACATTTCCATCAACAATTACATTTATTAGCTTGATTGTTCATCGATAATAACTTGATAAACTAAACAATGACCCACAATCTAATAGCTACTAACTAACTCTCTCACTCACTCACTCCCTATCTCAGAAATGATAATTAATTGAATGAGAACAAAAAATTGATTACCAATCAAGATCACGGAACTTATCCTTCAGATTCATTAATAATTATCATGATTAACAATATTCGTTATTAGTATTTAATGAAGGTCGTTGGATTATTATCATATCATTCAAATACACTTAAATTTAACCAGTAAAAATCAACTTCTAACTGAGGCCTTTGCACATAATCAAATTGATAATAATTACTGTTGGTAATCATGATTGATAATATTTAAGAAATTAAATGTTATCTTATTTTCTTTACGATTTCTATTAATAGTGATAACTTTTGTAAAGTATTATAATATTATCACTTTAACCATAATATCAACCGTGAGAGTGGATAAAGTAAATTATCATTTATGTAAATAATTAAAACTAATTGTGTTTACCATTTTGTGGGTGATTGATCACTTGATGATTTACAAGCTTGATTAACAATTTAATTATCATTTTGCTTTCTTTACAATAATAGTAATAATAATGACAAATCAATATCGTAAAATCCAAATTGCCCTGAAGGCAAACAAACAACAACAATTAACATTTAATTGTAATCCACTTGTATCGTCAAAATCAAAATCAATTACGATTGGATTTTCTTTTAATAGTTTTTTTCTCTCTCTCTCTCTCTCTCTTTCATTGTTTTAATTAACTTTTTTTGGCATGTTAATCATTTTAATTAATTGTCTTAATTGTTTCTTGATAATCTACTCGTTTTAACTACAGACTAAAGGATGAAACAAATTGTAGTGGAAAAAATGAAAATCGGAGACCCAAATTAGATCGCCTAGTAATCCCTGGTTCCCAAAGTTCATTAAGGTACTCAAATAATCAAATTAACAATTAATCCAATTCTCTCAATTAACCGGATTAAATTTTCTCTTTTCGTTTCCATTGAACTTTTTTTCTTACTCTGCGTTGTCTTTTCATCTGATTAGTTGGAAATGTTCAAAGTTTATCAATATTCAATTAGTTATTCGAAATTTTCTGAACCTTTTGCTTTTGTTTCGACAGGTATGAAGATGCGCCTTATGCCCGACGGAATAGCGGAAGTATAATGAGCCCACCAATCGAAAGTGCCTCGACTACCCCGCGCGACGGTGACACTGGAGGATTTTATTTGTTAAAGAAAGACTCTGAAAGGAGAGCGACATTAGTACAAGTTTTAAATGACGATTCTCATCTTATGTGTGACACTTGGTTACATTTACTCCAGCAAAATATTCAAGGTCTTCTATTGACCTCCGATCATCTTCATCAACTACTGGCGGGTATTCGTGACTTCATGCCCGAACAAGATAAAGCTCCACTGGCCCAAGCGATTTCTTTCGTTAAAGAAGAACTTGAATTTGATGGAATCAATCAAATTCAATTGGCACTTTTATTAGCCCAAGATGCGGTTAATCGAGTCCTTAGATGTCATAATATCAAACCTCATTGGATGTTTGCTTTGGACTCGCTGGTTCGAGGAGCTGTTCAAGCAGCGATAACAATCCTTTCCCCAGAATTGGGTGAAAATTTAGCCGGCGATTCAAGGAGAGATAGTCGAGAATTAAGTCCACCCGATAATAGATTGACTGGAGCTGATCCATCAACCGCTTCGGCAATATCAACATTAGCTTCAATTCAATCAGCTATTCATTTACCTTCACGATCCTCTGCTCTTTCAGCCGCTCACTCTCATCATTTTGATCAAATTAACCGTAATCACCATGACCAGTCAATCCATCGATCTGATTCACCTGATTTTGATGAAGAAAAATCTTGCCAATGGAGGAGAAAATATGAAAAAGTTAGAGCCGAGAATTTAGATTTGTTTCAACAACTACTTACAACAGAAAACCAACTTAATTTCTTATTAAAAGCTCAACTTGCCGAGAGACAGAAACAAATTAAATCCTTTATCTCATCAAATAATAATCTCTCCCTTCCAAATGGCTCAAATCAACATGAAACACCACCAACATCTCAATCAATGGATCAAACAATTAACCTTACCAATCAATCAACAAAATTACCAAATATCATAATCGGTAGCGATTCATTCAATGGTGTCGATCAAAGCTCAAGTAACCAGTTAAAATCTCATACAAACAAATGACAATCAAAGTACAAGTGAAACAAAATCATGAAAAGTTGTGACAAATTTGATAAAAGGCCAAAACATCAACAAAATGGACAAAAATAATCATCAATCTTAATTATATTTTCATTTAAATTAAATGCATCAAATGTTAATCCCCCGACCCTCACATAGATGGCAGCATAAACTTAAACTGTCTGTAAACAAATCGGTTTACTGAAATGTCATTAAAAAAATTGTATTTCTTGTTATCAATCAATTGATTGTTTTGATTTTCCTCTTGTGATAATTGTTTTGTTTTCGCCGTTGAATTTGATTGTAAACCTTTTCCGTGTATAATCAATGACTAATGTAAATTCAAATTCAGATGAAACCACAGGTCACGGGCCTCCACCGGTTCCTGCGAGGCCTTTTCACAATTCAATCTCTCGCCCTTGGAATTCAGGTTATTCAAATTATGGTTTTGGTGGTAATTACAATCGTTTCAATGGATTTACTGGTCTAGGTTATGGTGGAGGATATGGTGGCTATGGTGCTGGTGGATTCGCAGGTTATGGTGGAGGATATGGTGGATATGGTGCTGGTGGATATGGATCAGGTTATGGTGGATTTGGACCATCAATTGGAAACGATTTTATCAGAATAGCGGAAGAAACTTGTGGTCAAAGTTTCCAATCACTTGAATCGGTTGTCCAATCGGTTTCATCTGTAGCCATGATGCTTGAGTCAACCTATTTTGCTGTTCACTCTTCATTCAGAGCAGTTCTTGGTGTTGCTCATCATATTTCATCGCTTAAAGATCAACTGTCACAATTTACTAATCAAATACCAATTGTAAGATTTTTACTCTCAGTGGTGAAAAAGATTCTCTATTTTCTTGGAATCATTTCCTCGAATAGTTTAATTGACCATGAAAGAGCTTGGAGAGAAGCCACTTCAGCAAATATACGTTTAAATGCTGACGGAACATTTAACCCATTTTTAAGTGGAAAAGACCCTGTAACAAGTAGATCGTCATCATTACCGATATTAATTTTTTTCGGCCTAGTATTAGGTGCACCTTGGATGATTTGGACATTACTTAAAAGATCAACACGAAAAGTGTCCCATGTAAACACTGAATGGTCAATCGGTAAAGATGAACATTATATTGGTCAAGCTCTTTATCCATTTACAACCAATTCTCAAGGTGAATTACCCTTAACTACCGGACAGAAGATTCTAATTGCTCCCAAAGATATTCAACCTAAAATTGGTGATTGGTTATTAGCTGCAATCGATGGACAAATTGGTCTAGTTCCCGCTAATTATATTAAAATAATTGAATATAAACCATCATCTAATCAACAATTAGATGATCAAGATAAACAATCTCAGGAAAAACAAACAGATCAACAGAAATTATGATTTTTTCTTACCTGTTGTTGATAAACACAAAGTTACCTTATCATCATAATCATCATCATCATCATCACCATCATAATTATCGCAATTATCATCAAGCTATCATCTTTTTTAGCCAATTAATTAAAAAGGAAAGGAAATAACAACAATTATCTATCATGATATTGTTTACAAAATAAATTACTTTGCAAACAACAACAAATTTTCAATTACTCGTTACCCCAGAAGTCACAATTTCTTATATACACTTTGTCATCTTTTCTCTTCCTCATCTTTTTTTTAATTTGTTTTTCTCAGTTTCTCCTATCATCTCCATCATCATAATCATCATCATCATACTGGTTAATGGTTAATGGAAGAAACCAAGAAAAAAGACAAGGAGCAAAAAAGAAAGAAGCAATTTAAACTTCACTTAAAGGTCATTGAATAATTGAGAGTAAACAGCGCAAACGGATTAACGAGGACAAGATGATATTTATACAAATTAAGAGACGAAGATTAAGGGAGAAGAAGAAGAAGAAGAGAGAACCTGAGAGAGAGAGAGAGAGAGAGAGCGTTTCATCATCTTATTTCGTTTGTTACCTTGGCCTCATCCTTACGGGCAACAGGTTTTAAGCGAAAAAGATGAAGAACTTCATCTATCTCTTTATCCTCCTCCTTCTTTCGTTTAATGATCTTTCCTTCTTCTTCCCTTGTTACCTTTACTTCATCATCATCATCATCATCTTATTCTTCACAAACATTGACTTTTTTTCTTATCCAGCCCTTGGATCTTTTTACCTTTTAAGGTGTTCTCTCTCTCTCTCTCTTTATCATCTTCTTCCTCCTTCACTCTTATATAATCATAATGATGATGATGATGGGTCCTTACAGAAGAAGTCAAAGAGTGAAGAAAAAAGATAATCACTTTTGAGGGGCTTATCTTCATCTTCTACCAAGTGAAAGGAGAGGAGGTGGTGGGAGGGAGAGAGGGTGAGATAGCCACAGAAGTGAGAGAGAGAGAGGTTGTCCGGTATGAAGATTGTTTTTTTACCTTAAAATTACAGAAAATTGGTGACTCTCCAAGCAAATAGCTAGAGAATGAGATCAAAGAGATTGATGCAAGTAATGATGATGATGATGATGAGAGAGAGAAGAGCAAAAAATGATCTTAAAGAAGAAAAAAAGTCGAAGAAGATAAAAAGATAACTTTCTTTTCCAAGGATCAGGTCAATTTCATGTTCGTATCTTGATAGGGTTGGTAAACCAAGATTAACTTGGTAGTTTACCTTTATCATCATCATCATCATCTCATCATCATTAACTTGCTTTTCATCTTCCTTTTCAACTCCCACCTTAATCTGAATCGTTGTTGTTTTGTTCATTTTTCCTTCTTACCAATATTTCCAGTTTATGCCTTAACCTTTAACCTCAAATTTACACACTCAAAATATGCATTAGATGTAAATGATTATCGTATTTTTTTTATATTTATGAATTTAAAATTTAATATCAAATGATTTGTATAAATGATCAAAATTTATCTCAACTACAATTGAAAATTTACAAAAGCAATTGAATTATTATAAACATTTACCTGTAAATAAAAAACAGGTAATCAAATCAATAAAGTAATTGAATTACATATTATTATTATTACAATAAAGTAAAATAAATTTTTCTTTCTGATTGTTACTCGTGAGTGTATGTATCAACTCAATTTGCAATTTAATTTAATTGCAATCATGAGGATAACAGTAATTTGTCAATTGTTATCAATTATTAGTTGATTATTGAACAATCAACAAACTTTTTCGCAATTTAATCAATACCCTAATCTTCATATTAACTGAATGACATTTATTTTTGCTTTAATCTCTCTCTCTCTCTCTCTCTCTCTTGATTAACTGATTGTTGATTTCATAATTTATTTGATTAGTTGATTGTTAACTTTGATCAATCAAATTATTTCATCTTGATCAATGATAATATTAACTCCAAATTAACTTTATCATAATTTTTTCATTACCTTACCTTTCATCATCATCAAATATTGATTCAGCTTATGGATGATGAAGATGATGAGGATGATGATTATAATGAGACTGATAATCAGATAGAACTTTTTTTCTCGATTTTTTCTTCTTCCTCTTTCTCTCCTTTCGATCTGAAACTACAATTGAACTACTTCCATAATATTTATCAATAATATCATATTACTCTGAATCTCTCATTACCTGAACCATGGGATTTTTTTGTCATCTTCTTCTTCATCATCTTCCTGTGACTCAAATTTCTATTAGCATTTCATAACTTCGCCATCCTCAACATTATCTTCTTGCGCTTTTTTTTATCTCTCAATCATCATCATCCACATGATCTTCTTCTTGCTCATTTTTTTCTTCATCATCATCATCATCTTCCTCTTTTATCTTTTCGTCCTTTTTTGCTTCTCTTGATCAGGATCACGTTCAAATATCACGCGGACTTTTTTCCACTCTCTATTGTGCTCATTGTCTATTCTTTCCTCTGTTGAAGAAGATGATGATGACCATGAGAAAGAGAAGAACAAGGAGAGAGAAATATATATATAAAATTCTGGATCGATTCAGTATCAGGAAAGAAGAAAAAAGAAAAATTTTTCTCCTCTACTTTTTTTCTTCGATTTTTTTCTCATTTCTCCTTCACCAACCCAATTTTCTGTCAACATGATGATATAATTTCAATTCTTCCGAAAAAATATAACAGTTGATATCATGTATTCATTGTTGAGTTAATTAATTGTTGCTCAAAGTATATTATTAGTTTCTATTGTTTCCAATTGGCTGTTTACTGATTGAGAAAGTTAATTGACACACGAAAATGAAATAATAAACTAACAAAGGTAAAAAGAGAGAGAGAGAGAGAGAGAAATCTCCATGGTGAAGAAAAAGAAATATGAAAAAAAGAATGAGAAAATTTGAGTTACATGGAAACCATGATAGAAACTGAATTCTCCCTGAAAACATTGCATGTTATCATTATTACACCTTGATTATCATTACAATTTATTAATTTTCTTCTTCTTTTTATTTCCATATCTTATAACTAATCAACTCAATTCATTTGAATTGATTAATATTCAATAAGAGAAGCAAAAAACAAACAAAAAACTGTCAAAAACATTAACATTCTGATTCGTTAATATTTTCAACAGGTAAGTTTGTAAATCTGAAATTTCAATCAACTCAACTATCCTTTCATCAAGATATTCATCATGCTTCAATCCAGAATCTCTTATCGAGCTCTTCATCGTCCAATGTCATCTCTTTCTCTCCTTTTTTTATTCTTTGATGCCCTGAGGGTTTATTTTAATTTCGTTTTTTTCTTCTTCTTCTTCATCATCATTTTAATGTTCAGAGTAAAAGGCTTGGTGAATACGAAGAAAAGAAAAATAACAGAATTTGATAGAGAACAAAAAAAAAGAAAAAGACAAAATTCGAAAAAAAGAGAAAGAGAAAACTCTTTCATACATCAATTATCTTCCTCATCATCATTATCAAATACTAAAAAAGGGGATGAAGATAAAAAGATGATGATGCAATGGAATTGACAGTTTCATTCATCCTCATCACCCAACAATTAAAGAGCTGCTTTGGTTTCACCGTAATCACAATATACTAATTGATTTGAACTTTAGAATTTTTTGATAAAAATTTTTCGAACTTACAGAAAAAAATATCTCTCACTCAGAATTGAGATTCAAATGATTATCAATGTCAATCAATAATTAGATTAGCATAAACTCAATCAATTAATAGAAAATAGTAAACAATCAATGATTGACCAATAACATTTTAAATTGTTCCCTTGTTTCATTTTTGTACTTAATAAGTTTCACAATCAACAGATTAAACAATTAAACTTAATTGTAAACATTTTACAACTTTTGTTTATCATTTTCTCCCTAATTGTTAAAAGTAACATTGATTGTCATTGATTGACTTTTCAAACATGTAAACAAAGTTAATCATCTCAATCACATTCTCATTGTTTAAATTACTAATTGTTCAATTGTTTTACCACTAATTACATTTTCCAATTATGACTAAAAAGATTAAACATAATCACTTATACATAAATATACAATCAACATCAACATCAATGAGGTAATTAAATGAGAATTTAATTGATTAGTTTAAAAAAAAGTTCGAACAAAAAAAATTCTGGTTTAGTTGCAGAAAAGAAAATTACCGGTACATTAGTTGTTCCGGTATTCGATAGATGGAGCCAGTGGAAAGAATTCCCGTTTTCTTTTTTTTCTTTTTCTTTGTTATTATTTTTTTCTCTTTTCTCTTTAACCAGATATTCTCTTCTCTTCTGACTTGCGCCTCTCTTTTTCTCTTTTTCTCTCTCTCTCTTTCTCTCTTTGTGTTCTCTTTAATTCTCTCTCAGTTCCTTTTCGTTCTGCGATCTTGCAAGTTAACTGATTGCACAATAAAACGAGTAACGTTTTCTTTTCTGGTTTCTCTTTGTGTCTTGATTTCACTTCTCTCTCTCACTCACTATTCTTGTTAATTCTATTCCCTAATAACTTTATCATCATTATCATCACCACAATCATCAACATTACACCATCTTGAGAAGATCAACAACATCAAAGAACATTTTCTCTCTCAATTCTAAAATCATCATCTTTCAGAAAGTGTCAACATTTTTGTCTCTCTTTCTCTCTCTCTCTCTCTCCAATCAATATACTCAATTAACTTAAATATATGCACATAGTTGAATGTACATATAACTGAAAAATTTCATCTTCTATTTTGTGAAAACATTATTTTTCTGTTTGATAAAATTACAACAGTTTAAGAGAAACAAAGTAAAATTTGAAAGCTTATTTACTTTGTCACCAACTATAAGCTCTATCATCTTAATTTACTTGAAGCTTTTTAAATCAATATTTTAATTGAAAATTAACATCACCGGTTTACCATCATCATCATCATCATTGAAAAAGAGAGGAAGAGAGAGATAGAGAGGGAGATAGAGAATCATCAATATTAAACCCGAAAAAAGTTCAACCAGAATCAACACAATAACAACAACATAACCAGATTTTGTTTTTCTTTCTCCTCATCATCACCATTTCTCTCTCTCTCTCTCTCTTTCTCTTTATTTCTCTCTCTTCCTCTCTCATTCTCACTTTTGGTAAAAAAAGCTTGACCTACAATCATCTTCCTGTCATAATAAATTTAATATCTTTCCTGGTGCTTTTCCTCTTTATCATCGGTAAAAGGTCTTTACATTTTGTCAACTCTTTCAACATTACATCATCATCATCACTTGACAACAACAATAAGGAATAAAAAAACGAATAACCTAAAGTTTAAGCGAAGAAAAAAAGTCACCAGTTTTTTAATTTTCTCTCTATTTAATGTTTATCATTATTCTATTAGAGAAATAGAGAAAATTTATATTCCAAGTTGAGAAAACAAGGGAACCAGTAACGACGAAAAGTAAACCAGTTTTTTCTCTTCTTTTTCTCTCTCCCTCTCTCTCAGTTTCTCTCTCTCTCTCTCTTTTCTGGTGCAAACCATTAACACTTGATACCAAGAGAAACAACAACAACATTCAACTCAAACCGATCGTAACATCAAAACGTCAAAATCTTTACCTTTTCTACATAAAGAGTGTTTCTTTCAATTACTTTCCTTCCTCTCGTAACAAATTGATTGCCTCATCATTTTAATTCGCAATCTTTCAAGTAAATTTAATCCAATCATCAATTTCATTCTCTCTCAGTGTTTATCTCAACAATTGATTCAACTTTTCTCTCTCGTCGTAATTAGTGTTTACCTGTGTTAACGCCGCAAATTGATTGTACTTAATTATTGTTTTTTCTTCTTCTCCTTGTTAACTGTCGACACTTTTGTTTCTTTTTTGTGATTCGTTGAAAAAAAGGTTGACTTTCAAAAGCTCAATATCATCTTCTTATTATCATTTGGAACTAGTGATCATTATCATCAATCGTTTAAAGAGAAAAACGAAACAAAGAGAAGAAAACGGTAAGTTTTTCTTCTCCCGAGAGAAGAACATGTTCTCTTTTCTCTTTCTTTTCCTCTTTCTCTCTTTTTCTCCTCTTTCTCTTCTTCACTGTCAAAATGAAAGAAAAAAGTGTAAACAAAGAAAATTCTTTACTGTTGGTTTTCTGTTATTTCACTTTTTCCTTTCTTTTGCTTTTCTCTTCTCTCTCTCTCTCTCTCTCTCTCTCTCTCTCTCTCTCTCTCTCTCTCTCTCTCTCTCTCTCTCTCACTCACTCACTAATTTATAACTTTTTTTATTCTCTTCTCCCCTTCTCTCCTTCTTTCTCTCTCTCTCTCCTCCCCTTCCTCCTCCCACATTTTGACAAAACTGTTTACATCATGAAACTTGCAATTGCGGTAACATGAAACCTTCATTACCATGATAATCATGATCAACTCACTCACACATCAAACATCAAGTCCAATTTATTTGTATTTTAATGCCTTGTTATGTGTGTGACTACCGGTGAATAAAATCTCGGTGAAAAAACAACAACAGAAAATCAACAACCGATACCAGAAGTCAACTAATAATAAGAGTAACAACAAAAAGGGAATCCTGTTGACGGAAGAGGAACTACATCAACAAGAAAGAAACAAGAATTGACAGAATCAAAAAGAATCAATCAAAGCAAAAAAAAGGAACCATTAGGAATCCAATTGGAAAAGTCGAATAAAAGAAAACAAAAAAAACTCAATTTAAATTTAAAAAATGTTCTTGTGATTATTCATTTGACGATCATCGTTCTCTCATCATCATCACTTAATCTCAATATTGATTATCATCATAATCCTCTGGAACTGTTTGTTTTGGGTGATCATTGATTAGTGAGGAAAATCAACCAAGAAAAAGATAACAAAGTAACTAATTGGAACCTTGGAATAAACAAAATGTCGCCGGTGACCATTGAATTACGAAAAGGACGAAAACGACGTCCAAGTAACAGTCTCGAAGATGGAGATGATCCAGTTATGGATGATTGTATGGCTGCCATGGTACTCATGAGTCTTTCATGTTCTCCTAAATCTACTTTCATTCCTAATAGAGGTAAGAAGTTGATTTTTTTCTCATCCTCACCATCTTCTAAGATGATAGTTTCTATTAATACATGTAGATATTTTTTGTTTCTAATATTGATTAATGAAAACACAAAAAAAGTATTACAGCATATCTCTCTCTCTCTCTCTCTCTCTCTCTCTCTCTCTCTCTCTCTCATCTACGCACAAACCTTTTTTTTCTATTTCCTGCAACTTTTCATCTTTCTTTCTTTGTTACTTGATTTCTCTCTTTTCTTCACCATCATCTCTCTGGATATACCAGTTTCAACCAGTATCTTTTGCTCAGGTTTCTTAGATCCTCAGGATCTAAGATGTAAACTGATGTTACTGTCACTCTGCTCTTGATCTTCATTCTCATTTCTCTCTCTCTCTCTCTCCCCTCCCTCCCTCTATTTTATATTTTTCCATCACTATTTCTGATGTTGAATAATTGTCAATTATCTTATACATCGAAATGTTCATTGTCACACTTTCTCTGGTTACATACATAACTGTTTTCGGTCAAATCAACAACATTTTTCATCCTCATCAATTTCGCTCTCTCTCACTCTCTCTCTCTCCCCACTCTTCCTAATCTTGTTGGGTTGTTACCTAAGAAAAATAAGGAAAGAATATATTATTATCAATAATGTTGACAATTTCGACAAGATTTAGCCAATTGATTGAAATTATGATTATTATTTATCATCATAATTATCAATATTGGTCTTAACCCTGAGGGGTTTGATGTTATCATTCATAACCACAACGATTGGACATTAGTGAGTTTATAAAACAGCAACACAACTCTAACAGTATTAATAACCAATGATGTTAATGGTAAAGTTCCCGGCTTTTTTTCCAAGTAAATTATCATCAATGATGATAACTGGATGATAGAGGTTTTAATAATTATTTGCAATCTTTTTCTCTTCTTGTAAGCTGATTGAGTGATGATAAAGAGCTGACATTTATTGTACTTGATATAATATATAAAAACATAATATAATGTATTATATAAACATACATGTCGCTCTTTTTTTCTCTGCTGTTTTTATTATTATTATTATCTAATTTAATAGACAATATAAATTGTTTACCATCGTCATCACTGTAGATAGACAGATAGAGAGAGAGAGAGAGAGAGCAGAAAAAATTGTACTGCCTTTAAAGTTTCTCTCTCATTTACTCCCACCAGCTAACTCCCTTTTTGTTGAGGATGCCAACAAGGTTAATAACATCAAGTTTATGTTATCATCTCCTTATGATTTTTTCCCCTTCATCATATGATTTTTATGATGATTATCATTATGTTGATCCACTGATGATGAAAAAAAGCTTATTCTCTCTCTCTCTCTCTCTCTCTCTCTCTCTCTCTCTCTCTCTCTCTCTCTCTCTTCTTTCTTTCTTTCTTTCTTTCTTTCTTTCTTTCTATCTGTTGCTTCTGTAATGTTAACATCCACTGGGAACATTTCAATTGATTATTGTAAACCAACGACAATTTTTCAATTGTAGTGGTTAGTTTTTCTTTGTTTAATGATAACTTGATTGTAGACAATTGAAAATTATTTTGATTATTATCATGTGATTAACACAATTGTGTAATTAAATTGTATTCAAAGACTATGATGTTTGACCTGATTTTCATGCCTATTGTGTGATCATCATGAGTTAAACCTTGCGTTTGTTTATGATATTATATTACACTTACTTTTTCACTTTATTAGTATATAAATTAACTGTTATATTATTGTACATGTCCAGTTAATACTGTGAAATAATTATACAATCCAGGTATAGAGAGTTTCAATTACTTGGGTCATCATGATATTAATATTTTGACCCAATTTTCTCCAAAACTTAATTCATTCAATAATCAATTTTTGTAGGAAAAAATTTAATAATCATTTGTCCTCGTGAACATCATCATCATAATTTACGTAATCGCCTAAATCGTTTAATCATTTCAATTTACCGTTCATTTATTTTGCAACTAGAAGAGGGAGAGAGCGAATACGACAAAGAGAGAGAGAGAGAGAGAGAGAGATATGAAAAAGATGAATGAATATAATCAAATTTTCTATGTTGTTAATAATGATGATGATGGTGATGATGATAAGAAGATGAAATTGCGTGTTTAACTCAGCTTAAAAATCGAGATAAATTCAACGAAGAGGAAGAAGATGATGATGTTGATGAAAAAAACGAGAGCAAAGGTAAAGCAAGAGTTATGACGATGTATTAATATTTGCAAAAGTAGGATAGGGAATATTATTGTTGAAATAAGTACCTTTAACATCATCATCGTAATCATCATTATCATCATAATCATCAGGCCTGTTCTGTACAAAATGATTCTGATCAAACGAATCATATTTACCATATTCATGGATGAAAGAATCTGAGTTTATCCCTTCTCTCACTCACTCTTTGGCTCACTCTTTTTATATCATCTATCTTCTCCCACCCAATTAAATTTGGCATTAACAACAATGCTTCTAGGAAGTTATATCCAAGTGAATGAGATGATGATAATGATGATGATGATGATGATGATAGTAAAAGTTAGAAAGGAAAAATAGAAAGAGTAAATTTTTGGGTGAATAGATGAGCTCCATTGAAACAACAGTACTTTGTATTGTTATGTATCTAAATGTGACTCTGAAGAAGATGAGAGAGTTAAAAAGTCAGTTAGATGGAAAAGATGGAGAAATGAAAGAAAAGTAAAATGCCATTGGTATAATGAGGATGATAATAGATGTCAGAGGCAAAGATGTTGATGGAAAGAAAGTGAGAAGCAGTAAGTGAGTTAGTAAGAAAGAAAGAGTGAAAGTGATGATGAAAAAAGAAGACATCGAAAAGGAATAACGATGTGGCTTCGAGGCAAAATAATTCTATTTTAGGTTCTTTTTTCTTTATTTTATTCTGTGGGAAAAACAGAAGGAGGTAGAAAGAAATAAAAGAGAGCAAAGGACATCAAGTTAGAGACCAAATAGAAAGAGAGAAATACAAAGGTAGAAAGAGAAGAAGAGGAAAAAAAGGGAAAAGGAAATGAAAGAATTGACTTGGATTTGGTTTGAATTTTGTAACATAAGCTTAACCCGAATAATTTTGATTACAAGCTACATGATTCCAATGATTTTCTTGCCATGTTATTACATCAGATTCAAGTTTCTCCCTTTTTCAATTGTGTACCAAAGCTTATTATTCAGAAATGTAACCAATAATTATTATAATAACTGCACAATATACACACTAATGATGATAATGTTCCTCCTTTATGTGTAGGCTGTACTAAGCAAACTTATTATGTAACCCAAAGATGATTTAGAGAGAGAGAGAGAGAGTTTCTAACTTTGATTGTTGTTTTTTGTTTTGTTTCGCTGTTGTAATTACATTTGATGTTCAATGTTTGTTGCTAGATGAATTCAATCATTAGATTGAAGAAGGATAAATAATAAAATAAAAGGTGCCCTTCAATTATATTATTAGAATGATGTTGATTATGGAATGATAGAGATTCATCATGATGAAAAGTCATCGGTCTTTGCTTATTGTCATTAACATCACGGTAAATTCCTGACAATCTGACGTTGAACTCACTGTTGACATAGTGAGAAACATTGACAGCAGAAATCAGAAAGAGAGGGAGAGAGAGAGAGAGAGAGACAATTTCATTGATACCTCTTGTCGTTAAGTGTAACATTGACTATTTATTATTTAGTTGATAAGTAAACAGTTAACAACTTCAATTATAATTCATATGTTATATCATTATTATTACCATAGAAAACATCATATCAGAAAGTTATATAATCGTGAGCATATAAACAATCAGAATAAACCAGAAGGTGATAGATTAACTGAATAATTTCCTTCAGATAAAACTGATTTTATTTTCTAATCTCTAATCCAAATGAAGATGAATAGAAGAGAGAAAAAAACATCAATAGATGTGAAGAGTTGTAAAGATAAAGATTAAAACACAATACTAATAGGGAACAATCAAGCTAGACAATTAATCAACAAATCACAATCAACCTAATCAATTTTCATCATCAACCATCATCTTGAATTCAGTTGTGCAAACAAACAATCAACACACAAACAGACACACCATAGATTTCAATCAAATTGAATTGATAATGATAGAAACTCATTAACTTGCAGTAGTTAACCAATTGTTTCCCTTTGATTAACTCTCTCTCTCTCTCACACACACACATGCTGATATTATTACATGATTGTTAATAATCATGACGATATATCTACAACTGAATATACATTTGCTGAATAATAGGAACAGAAAAAAAACAAATCTCTCTCCCTCTCTCTCAATTAAAGTAAAGAGTTAAAAGTTATCATTAACTATCATGAGATTATGATAATAATCATGATCATGATTATGAAAGCTAATCATGGTAATAATAATCATTTTATACTCCATTTATCTTGTCTCTCTCCTTTTCTCATTCTCTCCCAATGTATATATTAATTATAACCAAGAGATTGATATGATTTTTATTTTACAAGGGAGAGGATGAGAGTTAATGAGAATCTTTTGTTCGAGCAATAATATTGTAATTACAGCGAAAAAGTTTCTAAAAGAAAAAGAAAAATCGACGAAAAAAGAAAATCTCTTTTTTTCTAAATAGCGAACACAAATTATTCTAAAAGTAAAATTAAGTGCCAGTTATAATAACCTCGAATATGATATTAGCAATATTATCATGAAATAAATTGCAATCAACGGTTAGTGTTGATTGTGAAGCCTTGAAACATAAACACACAAAATTCAGTTTACATTGAACATTAGCTAACACAATCTATTGATGTTATTACTTTAACAAGAACATTAAAAAAAATTGTTCTCTTTTTAGAAGATAAAAAAGAGAAAACTTAATACAACCTTACCATTTCCAAGTTGCACATTATTAGGTTATTATTTCAAATTCATGATACCAAGAACTTTTCATGTTCTTATTCATTTTAATCAGCTGGAAAAATGAA